TGCTTAGAAATGTTTAGAGTTCCTGGCACGGCACTGACTGAGATTCCGACAGATTCGCACTGGTCCCAGAGCAGCTGCACCATGACCATAAAATGGGCTCATTTCAATCCTGAACTAAATTTCACGGGTCTCCGGAACTCTAGTGACTCAGCATCCAGATCCTGTTCCCAGCCCAAGACAAACTTAAAGGTTTCAAATACAGCCCTCAGTTGGACACGGTTCTCAGTTACGGCCCGTGAAAAATTGCTTCTTGGCGAGAAAATTGCTAACTCGGGAGCCAGAAAAGCTAGAAAGCTGAAATTTTAAGGAAAGCTCCATTCACACCGTAAAGTAGGCCCACCCATGTTCTGAGACAGATCCGTAGGAATCTTCCGAACAGTCCATCCCGTGTAGCGAGTTGGCTCAGATTCATTTTGGCATAAAAATAGATTGGTCCAAAACCCGAACCAATTCATCCAGGCCCGGAACGGTTGGCAACGAGAGCAGTGGTAACCGTTGGAATCAAGCTTACGGGATTTGTTTTTCCAGTTCCAACTCTGGGATATTTTTGATTCGAATTTTGCTGACGGAAAAGCCCTTCTTTACTCTCCCAGACCTTAAAAACTTAAGTACTAAAGCATGCCCGTAAGTACTAAAGCAGGTTCACTTAATTCCCCCAAGTTGTCTTGGATTCAGACACTGTGTCGCCAAAAGCTGTAAATCCGAAAAAAAAAAAATCGCTCTGAACTCTGTTTGTATGCATTTCATTGGGACAAAACATTGCTCTTCAGAGTTTATTATAAATTTTAACTTGAATCTTAGTCTTTCTAATTTTTCCGCTAATTAAGTTAATAAGTTAAGAACTCAAACCCAATTGCCCCCCACACTCGCTCACTTTAAGGGGCAGAGGCGTCAGGATGTAGTCCGAATGACAGTAAGTGCCAGTAGCATCCACCGGCTGGCAAAACTGTTGATGGTTTCCTCTTTAGAGGGTTGCTCAGAAGCAAGTTGATAGCGAGTTTGACTCCCTAGCATGTGCCAGTACCAATTTACCATCGAAACGAATGAACGAATCGTAGAGGGACTGATTGTCGCAGTAGCGGATTCGAACTCTCGACCTTTTTTGCAGTGCTACTTCCCAGTGCGTGATATCCAATAATGAATATAATTTGATTAATTACAATCATATACTAAGAAACCATTATATCTGTTAATACTGAACAGATAAAATACAACAGGATAAATCGAAAAATATGATTTTCCAATGAGTTTTTCCCTTTTTTGAATAGAATTTTCCAATGAGTTTTTTCTTTTTTTGAATAGAATTTTCCAATGAGTTTTTTCCTTTTTTGAATAATTTGCAATTACAATCAAATACTAAGGCACCATTATATTTATCAGTTCTGGGCAAATAAAATACAGTGCAATTAGAAAATACGAAAAATGGTCTTTTCCAGTGAGTTTTTTCACTTATTTTCAGACGAAATATTCATCCAACATTTGGAGGACCATGGCAATCTTGTTCATGCCCTGCACAGGATAGCGAGGCTAGGGTTGGTTTTTCTGTTAATTCCCGGTTCTTTTTGCTATGTTTTGGCAATGTTTTTTTTTTTTTTTTGCCGATTGTTTTCTGAAAATACCGTTATAAGTACTTACTTGATGTTTCATGTAACTGACAACTGTATCATTTTTCTTCATTTTCATTTCATGATTGTTTTGGCCAATGCTAAATCGGTTCTTGCCCAATCTTCTGGCGATTAAAAATGCACTTTTTGTGCGTTTTTTTTCCATCTATGCAATGCAAAAGCAAATACTGTCGAGGGATTGTATGTGTTTGTCTGTATGTTCGTCTGTACCGATTTTCTCCTAGAATGAATTACTGGCTCAACGGCTCTCCCGACAAAAATACTTTGGGTGGGTTTTAGCCACTTGGACATTCAACGGCGTTTGTTCGGCCTCTGTTTTCAAACTTTTCCCCTTCCGGACTATGTTGTGGCACCTTGCTGTCTGAGCGATTATTCAAGAATTAAAATTATTACAGGTGCCGAAGGAATATCGGGTGTTGTCTTTGATTGGGCATCGACTACCACCGTTCTCCCTGAGAACACTTTCTGAAGACACACTTTTCTATTTTTTCTATAATTTCCCGGGCGAAGAATACCAAATTGGTGCCGCAAACGAACTGTATGTTTCTTTTCGCCATTTTTAAGGTGTGGATATTGCTTATTTCCGTAATTTTTTTTTTCTTTGAGGAGGAAGGAAAGGAAATTTTTTGCTTCTGTTTCTTTTTTCTCGATGCCATGGGAACTTATGGAAATTTTTTTGGTGTGAGGGGAAAATTTAGCATATAGAGCGAGTAAGTATGATTTACATTCAGCTATTACCGGGACTGGAGATATCACAAAAGCCTGCATGTCTGGATGATGCGATCACAGCGTGGATACGTCAAAGAGCATGGACCAACCTTTGAAAAAGGCACATATCTCGTCTTCGATCATACACACTGGCGAAAAGTAAGTTTTTCTTTCTTTTTTCACTAGAATTTCTGAGGAAAAAAATACAGTTCTGCTTTTATCCCACTCCGCTTTTCGCTCCCTCCCTATAAAAGAATACTCGGAATACTTCCGGCCTTCTCAAATCTCTCACAAAGAGTGAATACGTGGATATTGGTCGATGCTTGGCGAATTCCTAAGGATGCTTCCACCACAGACGGTTCCTGAGCAGCTCCCGGGGAGAGGGACGATTTTGCGA